GTTAGAATTTCCCTTTCTCTGTCGTGCGCTGATAGCTTAGGGATGGGATCTCCGACTGAAGCCAAATCGGTCGGGTTTCGATCCCGGCTTGAAGGAATCGGATGTTTCGACACACTAATGAGCTGTGATACAGCGAAACAGGCTTGTATGTAGATGACTATATATATATATATATATATATATATATATACCATATTATTTCGAGTAATTTCGAATATATATATATATATATATATATATATATATATATATATATATATTCGAAATTACTCGAAATAATATGGTAATTTTCTTTCTTCCTTACTAAAGATACTAAGAAACTTCTCCGTTATTTTTTTAGGATACGCATATTTGAGCAAATGTTCTGTTTTTAATTAGGATTTTAATACTGTTTAATTAAAAAAACAGCATTTACTCAAATAAGTGTATCCATAAAATAGCGTATAAACATAAAAATATATTAAAATATATGTATATATAAATATATATGTAAATATTCTCAGATAGAGCGTATCTATAGAGGAGACAAAATGAATATCAAGAGAGACAAGAGGAAAAACTAATTTATCAAGGCAATTTAAGATTTATTTTGCTGCACGTGTTTATATACAAAGGCAAGGATCTTATTGGATTATCAAGGCTTTTAAAATTTGAGGACATTCATGAATATCCGTCTGGTGGGGGAAAGGTCCGTCAAAGCATATGGAGGACACAAAGTGCCATAATTCAACCTCTGGCAAAAAATAAAGTCAGCGAGTAATATTCAAAAATTAAAAAAAAAAAATGATTGTTTATAGTTTGACATCTCACCCGTTTTTTCTTCCCTCTCACGTATAAACTTCCCCAAATTTATCAGAAACGTCAATCTTCTGTTTTAATGAATCCTGTTATGGTAGTGTCCTCTCTCCTCTCTAAAGTCTTCTAATTCTCTTTCACTCCCAGTTACCCTTGCGTCTTAGTGGCATTATCACCTTTCTTGGGTTATATATGTATGTGTATTAAAAACAACATATATTTTTGTACCGATTAATTTTACTGATCGACTTTTTCAAATTACGAACAATCCTTCTCAGATATAAGAGAATTTCTGTCATAAATTGTCCGAAGTTCATTTCGGAAGAAAAGTACAAATAAATATGGTCTAGGCTTTCGACTTTTTAAAGTCATCTTCAGGGCAGGTAGAGACAATGCTGAGTTTCAAAGAACTAGCGATTTTTGTGACGTTGGAGTTTTGTGGCGTAAGCGAGGTGTGACGTATTTTATATACACTAGTGGGTACGGGCTTTTATAAGGTTTATATTTATTAAGGGTTTTTTTTTTCGATATGAGTATTGCTTCAAGGGTCATAAGTCTGTTTTTCAATAAATAAAAACAATTAAGAATAAAATAAATAATAAATAAAATCACAATATATATATATACTCGACTCTCCCGTCGAATTCGACGTATGAGGGTCAACAGACCAGTTCCTAGGAAACCGACAACCCGACAACAGCTATATTTGATTATAGTGGTGAAGGTTTCGTGCAGGACCATCCACACTTTTTGAAGGGCCGAATAAAGAGACCTGGTGCACTACATGCCAAAAGGTCGCCTCCGCAGGTTTCGAATTCAGAGTTGTCCTTCTCCTAGACCAGTTGCTATCCAAGGCTATAGAACCCAGTCTGTCCTGCTATTTACCCATAGCTGGAAGAAGAAGAGAATTCACACCTTTCCCAATATTATATTAGGAGGCACGTTGGAGTAATGGATAGCGGCTTGGATTGAGGAATCGGAGAGTCGAATTCAAGACGAATCCATATATATATATATATATATATATATATATATATATATGTATGTATGTATGTGTGTTATTATGTGTGTGCGCAATATATTCCTTGATTAATCGAAAAGAGAAAAAAAAGGCAGCCTAATTAGAAGTCATTTAATTTAGGCCGTGTAGTCTCTGGATTGTTGCAGCGATCGTGTATTTTCTATCTCATTTTTGAAAGTTGAAAATGATAGTCATCATTATTTCATCTTTTTTAGATGGGAGCGCATGCGTAGTAACGGCAGGTTATTTGCGATAAAAAAAAGGTCAACATTAAGGCGCCTTTTTTTCCACAGATGTTAAAGAAAGACAGCCAAATACCCAGGCAAAAATGCACTCGACGTAAAGTTGGTTTGTAATTGATTTCAGATGTTTACGCGAGATGCTGCCGACGGCAGAGACATGTGTTTGTAATAAGCACAGTGGAGGTGAGCTGTGGTAGGATAACCTATCTGATATATATATATATATATATATATATATATATATAATGCGATGGATAAATTGTCGCCATTTTATATTTTTTTATTTTTGTGCATGTGCGTAGTTTTTTTTTTAAATATTTTGTTCATTTGCAGAGTACAGTGGGATCAGTCGGGTACCGACTGTGGGGGAAAACGCATCATAATGCAAATCATTAAGCCATATATTTAGAAACGGCATGTTGTACTGCTTGGCATTCACGCCGGAAACTGTAATATGAACATTTCAGAATGATTGGGTATCAATCTAGGGACAGTCCGGAGTTAGGTGAGTCTAATTTTGATTACGAAGGTGTTTGGGGAGATTAATAGTGATGGCGATGTTATGCCTACATTCATCTTCCCACAGGGACTCAGATTCAACATGGAGGCCTACATCAAATGCCTTTAGGAGGTAGTGCGGTCCTGGGTTAAGAGGGTGGCTGCTGGAAGACCGTATAACTAGCAACAGGACTCTGCACCATGCCACACAAGCAGCAGAACCTAGTTATGATTTTCAGACAATTACTGCGACAACATTATTCCTTATATCTGACTACTTAACTCCCCAGACTGCAACCACCTTGATTATTATGTGTGGGGTGCAGTTTAATGAGAGACCAACAAAACCCCTTGTAATACCAAAGTTGAACTGAAGGCAAGGATTATGGCAGCATTCACCAACTTAAAAAGAGATCATCCAGAAGAGCTGTAGGAGATTCCGAAGACGTCTGGAGTCCATGGTTGGAGACAATGGTGATTTTATTGAATAAATTTACTCTTGAGTATTTCAAGATATTTTCGTGCAACTTTTTGAAGAGACTGAATAACAAATTTTCACAAACAACATTTGTTGGTTGGACACCAGCACAACATTTATATGGCCTTTTGTCTTATTTTTGGTGTGTGAAACCCACCTCCAAAAGTTTGTTAAAGTATTTTTGATACAATCTCTCTCTCACTCTATCTATCTATCTATCTATCTATCTATCTATCTATCTATCTATCTATCTATCTATCTCTCTCTCTCTCTCTCTCTCTATATATATATATATATATATATATATATATATATATATATATATGTGTGTGTGTGTGTATACGAATAAATGCTAAGGAGCCAGGCAAAGCTACCTAGGTTTCACCTAAATGGATCTTCAGGGTAAATTGGCTAAAAAAGAAATGACGGAACAGTATTTATTGATAAAACCATTAAAAAAAACTAATAAGCATTAAAACCACGTAACAGAAGAGAAAAAAAACCCCAAAGCCTCTATTCAAATAACCAGGCTTTTCTATGCCTACACTTATTAAAAATCTCCCATCTTTGATTTAATAAATTTTTAAGTTCTTTATGGGTAGCGATAGTTAATTTTTTCTCCATAAGAAACAAAACCTGTCACCTGCTTTATATTTATGATATTTTTTTAATATTTCCCATTTCAAAAGGGGGGCCACTGTTATCTTCTTGTTTTATATTTTATATATATGTGGACAGGCTGGTACTATGTTTATAGGTTTAGTGATTAAAGCTACTTAGGTGGTTGTAGTAACGTTTTTTGAACCTTATATATATATATATATATATATATATATATATATATATATATATATATATATATATTATACACTGTTACATTAGAACATGTAATTATTACAAAATTGTACACTTTGTTTCGTCGTTTAAATAAAACGTTTCTTCGAATTAATTAATTGTTAATTACCTGAAGAGACGTTTTATATAAATATCGAAACAAAATATACTATTTTGTAGTAATTACTACATGTTCTAATGTAACAGTGTATAACATATATATATATATTTATTACTCTTGTATTGAGCCCTGTTTTAAATTAATCTTTTAAACATTGGAATTTTATTTTTCGTTCTTATACACACACACACACACACACACACACACACACATATATATATATATATATATATAGAGAGAGAGAGAGAGAGAGAGACATTTACATTTGGACATATCTATATATACGTTTATATTTGGATATATATGTATGTATGTGTGTTTATATTTTAAATGGTAAGTCATTAGTTACTCTCCATCATTTCTAACACACACTTCATATATTTTTCTAGGATAATTACGATAATTTTCTAGGCCGGCGGAGAACTGCTATTCTTGAACAAAACACCTCTCTAATTTCTAATGAATAAACGGCCAGTGGTCGTCAGTGATTGGCGGAAATTTAGTATTAAAAAAAATCTGTATTTACCAGCGTAAGAGCATTGATTAAGGACTTTGCTTACTTCGGTAGCCGCACTCGCTGTCCACTACGACAGATTGAATTATTTTTATCTGTGAAATCTATATTCACATTATATCTTAAATCTTATTCATAAATATAATCATCAATTTATTTAGATCCGCTATTAAAAAATAATAATAAAAAAAAAACGATTTACTAGGAAAATTCTAAGAAAATATCTACTTAACAATACTGGACTGGCGTTTATTAATTGAACGTCATTCGTTTCCTTTTTTTTTTTCAAATTGCTTTAACCTTTCCTGTTTCTCATGTTTGAGTTTGAGAGAAAACGGAATTTATTCGTACATCTCTGAAAAGTTGTGGCTGAAGATTTTCTAGCAGAAGAAGCAGCTGAACTTGGGGCAGACAGAAGCACTGTGAAGCAGATCTTCAATTGCCGCCTTCTGATGGAGAAAGCGGCTGAAGAAGATCTAACGGAAGAAGATGTGCACTTAGGCAGACAAAAGCACTGTAGAGCATATCTTCAATTGCCGCCTTCTGATGGAGAAAAGAGGCTGAAAAAGATCTTCTGATAGAGAAAGAGGCTGAAGAAGATCTTCTGATGGAGAAAGCGGCTGAAGAAGATCTAACGGAAGAAGAGGTGCACTTAGGCAGACAAAAGCACTGTAGAGAATATCTTCAATTGCCGCCTTCTGATGGAGAAAAAGAGGCTGAAAAAGATCTTCTGGTAGAGAAAGAGGCTGAAGGAGATCTTCTGATGGAGAAAGCGGCTGAAGAAGATCTAACGGAAGAAGAGGTTCACTTAGGCAGACAAAAGCACTGTAGAGCATATCTTCAATTGCCGCCTTCTGATGGAGAAAAGAGGCTGAAAAAGATCTTCTGATAGAGAAAGAGGCTGAAGAAGATCTTCTGATGGAGAAAGCGGCTGAAGAAGATCTAACGGAAGAAGAGGTGCACTTAGGCAGACAAAAGCACTGTAGAGAATATCTTCAATTGCCGCCTTCTGATGGAGAAAAGAGGCTGAAAAAGATCTTCTGGTAGAGAAAGAGGCTGAAGGAGATCTTCTGATGGAGAAAGCGGCTGAAGAAGATCTAACGGAAGAAGAGGTGCACTTAGGCAGACAAAAGCACCGTAGAGAATATCTTCAATTGCCGCCTTCTGATGGAGAAAAGAGGCTGAAAAAGATCTTCTGATGGAGAAAGCGGCTGAAGAAGATCTAACGGAAGAAGAAGTGCACTTAGGCAGACAAAAGCACTGTAGAGAATATCTAGAGTAAATTGCCGCCTTCTGATGGAGAAAAGAGGCTGAAAAAGATCTTCTGATGGAGAAAGAGGCTGAAGAAGATCTTCTGATGGAGAAAGCGGCTGAAGAAGATCTAACGGAAGAAGAAGTGCACTTAGGCAGACAAAAGCACTGTAGAGAATATCTAGAGTAAATTGCCGCCTTCTGATGGAGAAAAGAGGCTGAAAAAGATCTGATAGAGAAAGAGGCTGAAGAAGATCTTCTGATGGAGAAAGCGGCTGAAGAAGATCTAATGGAAGAAGAGGTGCACTTAGGCAGACAAAAGCACCGTAGAGAATATCTTCAATTGCCGCCTTCTGATGGAGAAAAGAGGCTGAAAAAGATCTTCTGATGGAGAAAGAGGCTGAAGAAGATCTAGCAGAAGAAGCAGCTGGACTTAGGGCTGACAGAATGGAGAAATATCTGCAACGCAGTCAAGTAAAACTCAGACTTTGTACATCAGTTAGCACATGTCTGGTCGAAACACTATCTTTGCAATGATGTGTCGGCTTTTTACGACTCAAGAATGTTTTTCTAAGAAGAAAAGCGAATGACTATTGTTATGAGAGGAATAGAGCTTCCATTGTTAATGGTGTTTTAGACGTAATGCAGCTGCAATATATAAAGTGCTTGTCAGTGTCGAAGGTGCAGCATTTGCCCGGAATGTGTCTATGCTTGTGGCTTCAATGAATGTTTAATGCTAAAGACTCCTATATTACGTACACGAAAACTCATGTGTATTCATTGCATTTTGTAAACAAAGCTTAGTTTTAGCGCAAGGTCTAAGTATAGATTTTATAGATAATATAAATCATTTTATAGGTATGTAGAATATCCCACTTATTTTTGCCAAGACCAGGGGACTCTCTTTAAGTTTATATAAAAAGTTAATCGTATTCTCTCCTTTTAACTCTTGCTTTCAGATGATGACAAACGTAGAATAAGAACGCTACCGACGGGGCGCGTCGCTTCCTTGGTCCTCTGTTGACTTTGAAGTCTCTCACACACGTACATAGACAACATGTGTCTATCACACACAAGCACATTCTCATAGCGAGTTTCAATATCATTTTCTTTCATTTCATTTGTGTACACATATCTAATCTAATTGATCTCTTTAGGTCTAAGTTGAAATGACGATCACTCTTCCTGTTCTAACCTCCTGATCCAGTTTTCCTCTCTACTGTTCTCACTTTTAAAATAATTATTCATCGTTCTCTGGATGGTTCTTCAGTGGCCTTTGAAGATCGAAGCCAGAGTATGAATGTTGGTACCGTTACTGAAGGGGGTGAAGGATCATTTTCCTCACACCATTGTTTATTTGGGAAGTCAGTGGGGCTGACACAAAACAACGGTAACATGTTCTCTTTGTAGATGAATAACTCAAAGGGTTTCTCAGTGATTCTTACGATAAATATTGTCAAGATGTCTAAACGTCTCATTAAAAAACCTAGAAAAAAGAAACTCAACTATTTTAGAGTTTTTAGATATTAAACATTTTGTTGGGTGGACATTTATGGTATTACACGATTTGAAAATTTTTGCTGTTACAGCCAGTGTATATATATATATATATATATATATACGTATTTGAGTTTCTAAGTTCTTATTTTCTTAAGCAGCGAAATTAATAACAACCAGCTGATATTGAGAAGTCAGACTAAAGAAAAATTGTGCTTACAACACGAATCGAACCTATATCCCTATTACACCAGGGAAACAGGTGAAAGTGAGCCGCTATCAGTTTGGTCACTAACATATATATATATATATATATATATATATATATATATATGTGTGTGTGTGTGTGTGTGTGGTAGAAAAAAAATAGGAAAGAATACGTTAGGTAAATAATCCGGAGTTCTTTAGTATTTTTTGTTTTTATTTTTAAAAAAACAGTGCTCCATACAGAAGTAGAGCTTAAATTATAATTATTTTTTTAAAAAATATGATTCCTTGGCTACATAAGATTTCTCATGTTTCAAAAAGGAGAGCCGAAAACCTCAATATAATTATTAAGATTAAATTGAGTTAAAGTATTAAGCTTTGTTTCATCCTCAAGCGAAAATTTAGGAATAACCAATCTTGAAATGTACGCATCTTTATAAGAATGTTCATTCGCAAAATTAATTACTATGGAAACGGCTGGGGCGACCATTTTAATAAGAGGCCTAAGAGATAATTTTTCTCCACATATCAGTCACCTTCGGAAAGAGGTCAAGCTGAGGTAGGGTCGGAGTATCCATTTCAAAGCGAATGATGGCATTCATGTGCGTACATTGTCTGGTCAGTCACAGCGAAAGATTACTTTTAGCACCATAATATGTCGTTAAGAGAATTTTGTTTTATTTTATTTACCCTTTTATTTATTTATTTTTTATTTTATTCTATTTTATTTTTTTTATTTTCTTTTCTTTATTTTTTCCTTAAAGGGCTGTTTCGTACTTAAACGCGTCGCACTGAACTACAATTTGTTTTTTTGACGAATTCATAAAGGCTTTTTCTATCTTGTGATTGGGTTAAGCTTTTAAACCTTTTATTAGACTATGAAATTTAATTTTCTTATGCTGATTATTTAATGCGAAAATTTGTTAATGTCGGCAGAAAAACCGTTAACTCATGTCTATGGTTTAATAAATTTTCTTTATTTAGAAACTTAATAATGTGTAGCTTTTCATGTAGGCATAAAGGACATAGGTCAGCCCAGGTTTTACAAGTTCTTGTTCTATTTATTATTTTCCATTTTACTTCTGGTGTTTTATTCATTTCTTTTAAATGCCAAAAGTATTTGGATAAAAATGTCTGATTTCTATTTCTAATATTATTGAAGGGGTTTTTGTGTTGTCTCCATCTAATTTTAAATTCATTCTTCGTTGAACCAATGTATATCCTATCAGTGTTAGAAATCTCAATGGATGAGATTGTGCATTGGTATACCACAGATTTTGTGCGGTATTTATTTTCCAACAGACAGTCTTCAGGGTTTCTACAATCACATAATTTTCATTATTTTTGTCTAATTTTAGTTTAGGATTTTTATTAATACTAGTTTGGTATGCGTGTTTTTCCAGGATTTTATTATTATGTTTTTTATGATTCTTTCTAGATTTTCTGTGCAACTGTAACTTAATTTTAAGGTGTTTTTATTAAAGATCTTGCCAAGTCTGCTATTAGTAGGAAAGTGTTTGTCAATTAAATCTAGGAACTTATGTCTTAGCTTAATACTAACCATTTGGTTGAACGGAGGGGTATACCAAATGATTTTCCTTTTCCTGTTTTTCTTTTGGTTAATTATGTTAGCGTTTTTGTATCCGCTATTTTTCAGGACTGTGTTATAAAAATTACTGTGTTGTTGGAATATTTCCTTACTAGGGGAGTTCATACTGATTCTTTTACCTATTGATTGACTTAGGGTGTACATACAGGGGATTAGTGTTAGGTTCTCTGTAAGGTAGGTATATGTTGTTCATTAAGTCTAGAGTTACATCGAGGAAGTTTACCCTTTTTAATTTAGTATGACTGTAGCTTTTAAGTTTAGTTTTCTAAATTCACTATATATTATTTTCTAATTTTATCTATTTTAAAATTTGTGGAGTTCCTCACTACCATGAGACCGTCATCTCTGTAAAGCCCGATGTCCTTAATGTCTAATTCACGGTGTGCGGTTATATTGTATAGTATAAATAAGCCGACAAGGTCAGAAGACTCTGCAGAGTGTAAAGATCCCATGGTTATGTCAAAATTGTCATTAGTGTTTTTAATCCATTGGTCCCCATTATGGATGAGGACAGATTTTTTTGCACTAAGAATTATGTTCATTTCTTCCTTAGTTAAGTCAGAATATACAGTAGCAAACTCCAAGGCAGTCGTGAAGAGATCTCTTGATAATGGTAATAATCCACAATATCGAACTGTATTAGGGTGCAATCAGGCTTATTGTTGATGTCGGCAAACCAATTGATGACTTCTTTGGTATTAATCCAGGGTGTTAATCCAAGGCATTTTTTGATTTGCCTAGTGATCCCTTCTAGGATTCTCTTGCTAATCTTCCCTATGTCGGGTCTGGTTGGGTTTATCATTTTGGTAGTAGGTTCTTCCTCAAAATCCTGTTTCTGGTACTTAAGAGTGATGTAGCATTCCTTTTCAGCTAGTTTGCCTACCCTGTCGCTTATTTTTAATCTTATATATATGAAGAGCTGGGATACATCGAAACACTACTGTCTGCGAATTATATATATATATATATATATATATATAAGTAATTCATCGAGTCTAGAAGAAACCTCAAGAGAATGTAGAAAGCACTGGACTGACGTTTCGTCCTACATTTGGGACTCATCAGCAGTTCGCATCCACTACCGCTATATCGAGTCTAATTCGTTCCTCTTTTGTCACCGAGGGCCGCTGGCACAGGTGGTATTACGTTTGACTGATAATGTAACTGTCCTGGTTTCAATTCTCGGTAGTGGATGCGCAGTGATGATGAGTCCCAAATGTAGGACGAAACGTCAGTCCAGTGCTTTTTGCATTCTCTTGAGGTTTCTTTTAGACTCGATGACTTACTTAATTATAATTATCTTAAATCCCCTAATAATTTCTATATATATTAAATCCCCCTAATAATTTCTATATATATAGCTGCAGTTTTGTACCGAAACGTAGACAACAATAATTTTTTAATGGATTTTTTTATCCAATATTATTTCCTTATTAGCCTTATTTTTAGTTGACATGCGCGTTCCAGTTGCGCTCCCTGATATTAAATACACTGTTTAAAAAAATCCATAGCAGCTCTAAAATGTGTACCCCCTAAAATTTTTTCTTAATAAGAAATAGCGCTTTACTGAGCGTAGATGTGGCACAAGTCGGAAAGCTTGAAGCACCCAGTAAAAATCAAACTCACGACTCAATCGTAATTGATCTAAAGAGACAAGTGCGCTAACCATCACACCACATCAAAGTACAAGATCGATGCAAGAAATAATGACAGATAAAAAAAAATCCTTGCATATGCATATATGAGTAAATATTTCAGATAGAGTATATCTGTAAAAGGACACTCTAAATAAAGACATAATGAAAAGTTATAATAACTGACACGTTTCGTCCTTTGAGAGTCTTTATCAGGGCTAATGTAATTTAATTTTGTGACTAGTATTTATATATAAGAGCAAAAATTTTGTGTCTTTTCAAAAACCAATTTTTACTCTTGTATATAAATGTTGTGGATTCCGTGGATGGAATCCTGCACAAAAAAATAAACAACGCTAATAATTGAGATAGAAAAATAAGTGTATTAAACGTAAGAATACAGACTTGAAGTGAAGATTAGTAGTCCAGGAATGCGGGTTAGTAGAAAGTATATGTACAAGTCTCTGTAAGTAAAGCCGTAATCATCTCTCTCTCAGGACTCTTGTATAACTCTCTGAGAACACCCTGTGTCTGTCTCCGTATCTCTCAACCTGTCGCCACGTATCTCAACGTATCTCAACGAATCTCAACGTATCTCAACAGCAGGTATTCTCTCTGTCAGTATAAGTATACTTTGGACGAGTCCATCTTATGTAAAAAGGGGAGAACCCCACAACAATAAATAATATCCTTACATTTTCCTTGATAAAATCCCTCGGAGAACGAAACGCGCCGACTAAGATAAGGTCCTTTTTTTCTCTTCATTCATATGTATATATGTAACAGACTCAAGAAAGAGACTGAAGAAGATCTAGCAAAAGAAACAGCTAGACAGGGCAGACAGAATTTTGGCGTAGAGGCTTGCCTCATTCGAAACATCGAGGCACTGTAAAAAACCGCCAGCAATGCAGTCCTCAACAGTCAGGTGGGTGACTATTTCAAGGCCACATTTGGCATCAGTCAGGATGGTTTGCTTTCCCCAACAAAACCTCCAAGACTTTCAGGTCACTATATGCATAGATGGGAGAATCATTAACAACTTATTCTTTGCTGATGACATTGACTTAATTGCAGGGTCTCACGAAAAGAATGACAGGCAGTGCAAGAACGTATGGAATGGAAGTGAGCACTGAGAAGGTTAAAGTCCAGGTCAACAGCACAATCAAAATCAGGGGTCCAGATCTTAGCTCGAACCACTGATTTGAAGCAACGTATATGTTTGTTAACATTGACTTGTTGGGCGGCAAGTTTTCACCAACAGATTGGTAAAAGGTGCAGAAGAGTTTGGAATGGAAGTGAGCACTGAGGAGTGTAAAGTCCTGGTAAATAGCAGAAACCAACATTAGGGCTCAGATCTTCAATAACGGAGAACAACAGGAAGAAGTCAACGCCTTTTAATAACTTGGCTTTACCCTCGCCAAAGGTGGGGGCTCTGTAACAGAGCTCAAGCCCAGTAAGATTTGGATGAGCAAAAAACTTTTCAACCAAGATGAATCTCTACAAGTCCCTGGTACTGTCCATACTTTTCTATGGAAGTGAAAACTGGACTCTGATATCAGAAATCCCTAAAAGAGTTCAAACATTTGAAACAAAATGCTTCAAACGCCTTCTCGGGATCTCCTGGAGTGAACACACGACAAATGACTTTGTACAGGGCCAAATATTACAACTGGCAGACCCCAGGAGCCCCTCTTGTCAACAGTAAAGTAGAAAAGCTGTTGTGTCTTCGCCATATCAAACGCAACAATACTCTACCCAAGATGGTCTTTCAAGGTACTTTGGAAAGGGGTAGACGCAGAGGGACGCAGTCCAAAAGCTGTATGGATAGCATTAAAGAATGGACCAGGATGGAATCTCCAACGTTGTTTCGCGAGGCAGAAAACATATCTGGTTGGCGGTGGTTGGTTGCATCCTCGTCGCTCATGTCTCTTCTACGATCGGCTCGGTCATGAGATAAGGAGAAGAATTTATGTAAACATTATCTTAAAAAAAACATACCGTTTACAAGAGAGATAAAAATAAATATATATCCACCAGTTCGAGATTTCTAAATATTTTTCAAAATCGTTGGAGATTATAAAACCTTTTTCTCAAGACTTAAAGATTTAAAACTAATTTTTCTATCCCTTTCAATATCTTATATGTATCTAAAGCTATATATCCACCAAGCTATTATCTTAAAGCTGGGTCGGATTATGTGTATATCAGTTTAAAATTCTCAAATAAAGACGGATCAAAGTCAGCAATAAATGAATCAGTGTTAATTTAATTATTTCTCAGTGAAAAGTTATTTATTTCTCAATTGGATCATGTTATTTAAGTCATGGCAATTATGTGTGAAAAATAATATCGCCCAAATGTCCATTTTTGTAATAGACTTCGATAACTTTAAGACGTTGTTTGATTGTTAAGTTTTCCATGGAAGAAATTGCCAAAGACTTAAGTTGTTAGATTTGAATGAAAAAGAAAAAAAAAAAACATTAGACGTTTAAACTTAATTCACTTTTAAAATCGGCCCAAGTTATTGGAACACCCATTATAAAGAATTAAAGGGTTTAGATTAAATACTTTAATTTATACGTATATGCAATTAAAAAAAAAGATATTAATGTTATTATACAGGTTAGCAATTAAATATATAACCTATATATTAGCATCAGAATAATAGCTAAGCTCCGTCCTTCACAAGACCATATAAGTTGGACACCCAGTGCGGATCGAACTCACTAAAGTAATAACGGGCTTAAAGAAAACCATGCTAAGAATCGTTTACGCGTGAAGGTGTACAGTAAACTTACCGTATATTTTCGTGTATAAGGCAACCTTTAGATAAGACGAAGTAAAAAGATAAAGCATATATTCATGAATTTATCCTATACCTGTTGTATAAGACGACTGCTTATTGATTATATAAAGATGATATTATTGTAAATGTTGTTACTTACTGTATCCTTAGAGATTTAAAGTAAACGAAATAAAACCAATTCTTTATCCTGTTTTCCTGCACATACGTCCCCTAAAAGAGAAACCATTATTTTTTTTACGTTTCATCACGTGGTCTCTTGCGAATACTGATTCTTCTTCTTCTTCTTCTTCTTCTTCTTCTTCTTCTTCTTCTTCGTTTCCTATATCTAAACTGTCACAAACAGCCTGGTGTACTAATGACCATTTACTTATACTTCAACGACAATCACAAAATACCGCTAATAACAGTACAATAATGTACGATAATATTAAATTCCACTTTCAATACATTTTTTTATTCGCACTCATAACTCGATGTTTACATGTTCTCAGCTGAGCTTGCATGGATACAAGTTGATTTCATTGATATGGAAGTTTAATGTGGTCGCTTCTGTTCCACGCTGAGCACGCTGAGACTAGGGCCTTGTTCCAGACTATAACAATATTAGTAGATAGTGATGATTAATGCAGCATTGGCTTTAATAGATGAGATCTAAAGAAACTCAGAAATTTTATAGCTAATATTACAGACAATTTTAGAGATCTTATGGTCAAATGAAAAAAAATATTATACATCATTTTATACATCTAGAGGCTAATGTAGATGCTTCTGTTTTATTTGATAGCCAATGTAGAAATTTTATAGATCTTATGTATAAAATTAAAAAAATTATATATATTATAAGTTATTTTATGGGTCTTATGTCTAATATCGATCTATATTTTTCTTACGGGTATTCCTCCTATATAGCATTGAATGCTGGACAATCTCAGATGAAGAAGAGACTTGATGCAACAGAAATGTGGTTCTACAGAAGGATGCTTGGAAATACCATGCACATAACATGAGGACAACAACGAAGTTTTAGAGAAAAATGGAAGCAAAAAGATAGTTAACATCAAGAAGAGACAGTTGGAGGTTCTAGGGTACATTATAAGGAAAAATCTGATACTCACAGAACAGACTGAAGTCAAGATGGACAGAGGAATACAGAAGATAGCCTCAAGCGAGCTTGAGTAAATGGATGGCTGAACAAGATTCAGGGGAGATAACAACAAAAAATTATTAACGGTAGAAAGGATAGAAAACTGTGGTGAATCATGATAGCCAACGGGAAACTGCAGAGTAATGATGGCTAACGTCCTGGAGGGACATAATACATAGAAGAAAATAGGTACAAAGGGAACTCTCACAGCTGGAATTCGAACTCGGCACGCCAGATTTATTTTTCTTATGATAGCTCATCGGAAATTCTATTATTTTAAGTTAATGTATCCGCATTATATTTCTCATTATTGTCAGATTAAACCATTTTTTTTAAAAGTTACAACACAAAGCATTTGATGTCGAGCGATGGTTAAAGAATTGTTCTAACTAGTTACTTGCAAATGTAATGAGTTCAACCCTCATTAATACCCAACTTTTCATTTTCGTGACGCGGTACATTTATAGTTTGTAGAGAGAAACTTCTAATACCAAATTTTTATATTTATTTTTATATTTAATTGTGGATTTATGGGGGCTAATTTTTTTGTGGTGTCAATGAACACCTGTTGCCACTTTTGTAATATCAAAAAATACTCGTTGTCACTTTCGTAATGCTCGTTGTAGTAGAGACTTTGTAATCGCAGATACAACTATAGTAACGCCGTTGAACAATACTGGTATCAGACGCCTTCGAATAACACTTACACTAATAGTACTTCCTCGATAATACTCGCTCGAATAATAGTCCGTATAATGAAATATTATAGAGAATAGCGGCCCGTATAGTAATAGAGAACAGAGTAGAAATAGTGATACGTATAGTAATAGAGGATAGACTAGAAATGCAGATCAATCAGACATAAGGCGACTTTCCATATATGCGTTTCCTCTATGGTCACGTGATCCACTTCATTCAATAATGAGTGTTTGCTCACTGGCGATCTATGTTCAAACTCAAGTGACACTTTATTCATATATCATTTATTTTTGTCTATCGTCCGGTTCACAATGTACCCCGGTCTTTTTAAAGGAACAGAGGTTCATCTGTTGCTTCCTGTTTAGGATTGGGTTTCCGGTTCCTTCTAAAGTCTACTTCAACTCTGCACTCCTGACGTCTCCGCCTGAACTCTGAAATTTTATTCGCTAATTAAATCTTGACCTCTTCAAGTCAAGAATTAGCTATCTTTCATGTTATTTCGCCCTTTCTTACGCAAATACAACTCCACACACTAACCCTCTATCTTGAGTGGCCCTTCGGTCTTGTATCAGGATTAGTAAAACAATGTACACTTAGTAAAAGACCCAAGAGCCACTAAAGGTAGACTGTTACTGAATACGGTTGTGGCATGGACATAAAAAGATGAAGTAAGATTGTGAGGATAGGTAGGATAGATAACGGTTGACCTTAGATTTGAAGAGGTTAAAATAGCAGTGTATCAGTGAAGTATCCTTTCGGTAGTCTGTTCCACAAAACAGAGGTTCCCGGAAAGGAGTTGTTTGAATGGAACTTCCTTCTCCAGTCAGTTATATGCCATGCGTGATAGACTCTTAGGCGTATCTTTCTATACATGACTGACGAGGCAGTTTTTTTTCCGCAGTAGCTTGCCATTTCTTTCTGCGGTAGACCAGATGCCATCCAAGGTCTGTCCTGCTATTTATCCGAAGCTGGAGGGAGAAAAAGTGGATTCATACCTTTCCCAATGGTATTAGCACGTAAGTGAATGCAATGCATTCGACTGGAATTCAAACAGGGTTCTCCGATTCCTCAATCCAAGCCGCAATCCATTCCAACAACATATGCAATGCGTGATACACGCTTAGGTGATAATGTATCTTTCGATACATGACTGACGAGGCAGATTTTTCCCGCAGTAGGTTACCATTTCTTTCTAGTTTTAAAGAACTTGCAGATATGGGATTAGGCTAAATTGGGTTCCTGTCGTAGCGCGATAGTTAAGTAGCTTATTCCTTTGGAGAGTCGGTCTTATAGAGGTTGCGGTCCTTGCTGACTTCAGGAATTATCTATTTGTTTGGCATGGGGTAAACAAATTGAAATGGGAATCAAAATAATGTTGCCAATTGTGACGCAAATTAACAGACAATGAAGAGTTGGCCAAATGGTCGAGGAATTTAAACTGTCCGTCCGAAGAGAATGCTGGGTTGCGTTGGCTGATTGTTTAACGTTTCAATCCTTGCAGGGGTCAGTCCATTTTTTTTGGTGTTATTATCATTTTATTTCCTTTGATTTCTGGTGTGTACTCATTTCTTTCTGTGTCTCGCCTTGAGTCCTAAAGTCTAAAACGCATCATGACATTTTTCACTGAGCAATTAAAAAAAAAAACAAAACAAAAAACAAAATAATATTTTACATAGATCAAGCCCTTCGTAAGGTGTGGGATGTACCTGTGAGAATAATTTTTTTTGTATTTCTTTGAGGCATGGGCTTCCAGGAATCCCTTCAATGAGTCTACTGGAATCTTTTCCAACCAATCCGAGGGCTCCAACTACAACAGAGATTGTTAATGTTTTCAAGTGCCACATTTTTGAGATTTCGATTTCAAGATCCTTGTATTTTGATAGTTTTTTGAAGATTTATTATTATTATTATTATTATTATTATTATTATTATTATTATTCTCTTTAATTTCTGGTGTGTACACATTTCATTCCGGGTTCCAAAATTCGCTTGAAGATGAAACAAAACTAATGGTTTTAATTTAATATAATTGAATTTGAAGTTTTTCGTTTCTGTTTTTGAAACATGGTAATACCTATGTAGCGATGAAACCATATTTTTAAATCAGTTAATTTATAATATTTATGCTATGTAAAATTACATTGAGCACTGTTTTGTGTAAATATTTCACTGAATATAACAGACAAAAAGTGTTTTATAAGTTTTACGTATGTTATTTTACAATTTTTCTTTTTTGAAGTCAAAGCGTGTGAACAAATCTTC